TGTTGTTCAATAGTCAGGTGTTCTAATCTCCTTGGGGTTTAAGTTTTTCCAAATGCATAGTTATTTAATGGTGTAGTGTTCCAAATTCATTATTACTTGATGGTGTGGTGTTCTAAAGTTACTCTTTTTATAATCTGGAGGTTCCTATTAACTTTTGTTTAAATGAGTGACGTTTATGTTAGCTGTTGTTTAATGGAGAGGCATTTATATTATCAGTTGTTTAATGGAATCTTTCATACTGACTGGTTTTAAATGTTTTGGTGTTTCATAATGTTGTTTAATGGTGTGGTGTTTTGAACTCATAGTTCAATAGTGTGGTGTTTCAGTTTCGTTGGTATTTAATGGTGTAATGTTCCAGACACGTAGTTTAATGGCGTGGTACTGCATACTCCTTGGTTTAATGGTGTGACATGGAAAACTCCTTATTGTGTGGTGTTCCTTACGCAGTGTTGTGATGTGCTCTGGTTTTTGACAAGTGGGATGGGCCAGAACCCTCACATTATTTAAGAACTGTTACCACGCCCACTTGTACGACGATTTACTGGGTAATAAAGTTTATTGTAATATTATTCATTGTTTTGTGATGTTAATGGCTTCGTGCTGTGCTAGCATCGGACCTTTTTGTATGGTAAGGTTTGCTCATTGTTGATATCTCCACGTTGTGTGTTAGCGATGTTCACTTATTATAAACATCTGTATGATAAACTATCGTTGCTCGGTCTATGTCGCATGTCGTAGTGTTATGATTCTTATTACGAGTCGATGACATTGTTTAATTCATTTTTCTGTTCTCTGTCGACATTTTTTTGGTCTTAGAAATTGCCGTCTTCAGTTTCTCCTTTCTTCTCCCATCTTAGCGTCATATTGTTTATTGGCTGTAAACTTAGGCCTTCTACCACTTAGGAGGTTATATCCTCTCCCTTATTTGGCTGCAGTGAGATAAACTGAACGTGTTCTGCAATAATGGAGTCGCTCCCTTTTTTGACAATGAATCGGCCTAATTTACCATTCTTGAACGATAGGTTTATCGATTTGTTATGAATTTCATCTCGTATAGCCAGACGTTAGGCTGCATCTCCTTGTCACCCTGAAAATCCTCATTACAGGTGTATTATGGTAATATAGAGGTCAGGGAACATCGTGTTGTGGATCGTGTTGAGCATATTCCGGAAGGCTAACCAGGACTATTAAATATTCCCTGGCGGTGTTACTGGCTACTCTTGTGCCAACCAGGTGGGTTGAGACGTCTTACTTAACAATGGCTCAAGGGATCGTTGACTGGTTGATTCACATCCTGTAACACACGGACGTAAGGCACACAAAAGAGGCAGAACTCTTCCCACGAAGTGGTACACACCGTGTGTTTCTGGGCTGATGTTCGTCCCACTGTTTTCGCTACTTATGGAATAGTAGGTTACAGTTTTGGTCAAGGGAAGCTCTGATTACCTGAATCAAGAGATCTTCAAGCTTCACATTCCTTTGAAGATGCTGAAATATATGAGCTGCAATTTGTGCCTTTTGAAGTTGAGGTTCAGTTACTAGGCCTCTGGTGTTACTGTAGTTACTAGGTCTCTGGTGTTACTGCAATTACAAGGTCTCTTGTGTTACTGCAGTTACTAGGCCTCTGGTGTTACTGCAATTACTAGGTCTCTTGTGTTACTGCAGTTACTAGGCCTCTGGTGTTACTGCAGTTACCAGGTCTCTGGATGCTACTGCAGTTACTAGTTCTCTGGTGTTACTGCAGTTACTAGTTCTCTGGTGTTACTGCAGTTACTAGTTCTCTGGTGTTACTGCAGTTACTAGATCTCTGGTGTTACTGCAGTTACTAGGCTTCTGGTGTTTCTGTACTAACGGCTTCGAGGGTTTTATCCTTTTAGCCCAGGTTTGTGGCCAGGCTTTCTTGGTTTGTAACATTATAAATAGTATAGAATACTGACAAGGGTTGCTGAGCGTAAGAAACATTTCGGTGATAAAGATCACAGAACGGGTGAGGTTTGAACACCAGCGAGCAGGTGGGGGTTTCAATCCAAGGCAAGGCTGTCTTGAAACTAGCAGGCCATTGCGTTATCTACTGTACCATCCAGCTACACAGCATAAGATGGTCCGGTGAATAACGCACTGTCTGTTGGTTCTAGGACTGCTCTTCCGTGTGTTGGCACCCGACCAGTTCGGTGTTTCGTTTGCATTCGTGCTATTACGACTTCGTGAGTCCTTGGTGTGTGTGTCGAGGTACAGGAAGAGAGGCTGGGATAACACAGTACGGGGATAAACACACTAGGATCGCGCAGCGACTAAAGTATGTCTAGTTTAATTTGTTTGTTCAGCAATAGTTTGTGGTGATACGAACTCATCTCTCATTTCGTGTTCAACATCTACTTGTAAGTACGAATATTGTATGCTGTACAAACACCATTCATCTTCAGTCACACACACACACACACACACGCACACACACACACACACACACACACACACACACACACACACACACACACACCTTCAGTCTATATGAGGCTACGACCATACATTCTCATCAGCGCCCACTTTACATTCGATGTACGAGTTGTGTACACTCCAGCTGTTACCCGAGTCCAGTCTCCACTACCCCAGGGAGCCATTCATCTCTACCCGAAGTTGTAAATTTATTCTTCAGGAAGAAAACAGTCGTGAGTCATTATAGAGTGATCACTCAGTGGCTAGTGAAGAGCATCGTAAAACTGTACCGTTTCTTAAACTGCAGCCCTTGGCAGCACAAGGTTACTCTTTAGGCTACTTAAACTTTACGTGGTAGAGCACTTGGCTCTCTTCACTGGGTTGTGGCTGCCTAGATGGGATTCGAGTTTCGTTTTAAATGTTAATTGAAACGGTTATCCCATGAATGGTATATACTGTTAGGGATATAAGCGAGGCATTGGCTATGGCTGGTTCCTGGTACAGTACTACAGTAGGAAATATCTTTGTGAGATTGTCACTGGTCAGTATTACATGTAGTACATTAATGTATGTGTTACAGTATGGTGGCGGTTCACACTTAGTTTTTGGTGGGGTAGCTGAGACACAGCTGATGAACGGGTCGCCGGTGTCTGATCACCTCTCTGTTGACAGGAGGGATTAGTACTGTGTAGGTGTTTCATACCACAGTTCTGACCTTCAGGCTTAGGGTTCTTAGTGTTCAAGAACAAGTACCCGCTTTACTTTGTGGCTAATACGGCAGCTTCATTGGCAGTTCTGTTTTCTTCACTTCCGTCTTGGCTTGATATCCAGTTGATGACAGTTCAACTTAGAGGTGCAGCTTGGGCCTGTAAGATGCTCAAGATGGTGACGAGACTTACGCTGTTCTGTGTTTGTGCCGGAGAAACTAGAGAACAGCGACGGAATTCGGGTAAAGAAATATAGCGTGCTGTCGGCACTGTTGTGAAGTATTATTTAATGTTAGAAAGACTACTACTATTACTACTACAAACTCCGCTTGCGGAATTAATAAAAGATCAGAGTTTCCATCCACTCGAGTGTCCCTGGTAATGGACTCCAGCTGTTACAAGCTTGTTATCTGGGTCCACTGAACCATCAGTGAAGTATACTGCACTGCTGGGACCTTCTGCTTATGCAGTGCTGCACTGTGTGTGGTGCAGCAGAGGTATACTTGCTCATTGACGGATGCAACATGACTATTTTTGCAAGTCAGGTTGCAGAGGCAGTGGTGATGTGTGAGCTTCTGCCGTCAGGTCATATCCTTTCCTTTAACTATTGTTGTCATATCAGACATCACAAGTAATAACTCAGAAGACCCATGCATTGCCAATAAATGTCTACGGCGATAAAAGTGTTTGACTACTCTAACAAGCGTATATATAAACAACTTTTTTCCCGAGGTGAGGGAAATTAACTTCTCCAGGCAATTAGATATGGTTCACCGGGGGAGCCCCAGGCACGGTTGGCATGAGGGATTTTGAGGCACCTCTATGTACTTATTAACTGGTATGCTGGAATTAATGCTGGAACTGCCGGAACATCTCACTGACTGGTGTTCCCTGGGAATTAACTCGTGTCCAAAGTTCAACAAAGAGACAGCTGTTGTTTGCTCATTGTCACGACAAATGAGCTATAGCTGTCAGCAGCTTACTGTTGACAGTAATGAAGAAAAGATCCAGGTGCAGATCCAGCTTGTATAGTGATAACGTTGTGCAGTACGTGAACGTTATAAAGTGCTACATGAAGCACAATGTTTTACGATAAACTCTACGTGCTGCACCTACGTGAATTCACTTACCGTAATGTGACTCATGCTGATCCAGCATGACGTGAGCTCTTTGAACTCTACGTGCTGCTCCTACGTGAATTCACTTACCGTAATGTGACTCATGCTGATCCAGCATGACGTGAGCTCTTTGAATGCCCTCTGGGCACTGGGCTTCTCAGTTCAGAGCAGGGTATAGACACGACAGGTCAGGCCTGGCGCCCTCCTATTAAAGTACCTCCTATATATAAGTTACCAGCCGTCCGATGTGTGTGTTTATACCCAATTCCATTAATCGAACCCCCACACGATACAACGAAGTATTCATTAATCGTCAGAAAATTGCTAAATAAATGATTGCTAAATAAGTCCCCAGACTGACACCAAAAAAAAAAAAAAAAAAAAAAAACGAAGCCAACCCAGATTTAACATATGCTACCACTGTCATTATTAAATTTCATCTCGAAGCAGCTCTAGCACACATGTCTGGCGCACTTGTATGGCTGATGCAGCAGTGTGGCAGCCAGACAAGTTTTCAATTGCCTTCAACCAATTTCACGGTCAGTTCTCGAAAGGATTCAAGACGCACGCTCTTTTCTCAACCGGTTCCCTTCAGGCCTTGATGCCAGTGAAGGGCTCTTGATTTAAAGGCTTAGAGATGATTCTCATAAGCCTTTTCTGGATACAGCCTCATCACATCCCATTCCCCGATCCGTGTATGACGCTACCAGTTTAACAATAATAATAACAGTTCATTACATACCTTCCGACGCGCTGCCTAACATGGATGGTCTTCGCGGTCTCTGGAAGAAAAAACAAAATCAGTATTATAGAATAATTCTCCCTAGGTTCAGTGACCTTGATATGTCATTTAAAGGTCATTTATTAAAATCAATGACCTTTGAAAGCCAAAGTCTTTCCTGGTACCTTGACAGATGATGCGGAACCTGACTCACTCAAGGGTAATGGGATTTTTATTGTGAGAGAGAACTTGCAACACGTAATTCAAGAGCTTTTTTAAGATCTATAGTAATACAACGTTCCATCAACAGTGGGGTTTTATCTCCCACAGTGGGGGTTTCTTAAGTATTTGATGATGCCCCACTGTGGAGGATAAAAAAAAAAATTCCGCTTAGATTGTCAGAATTAGCACTTGTCGACTTATGCGGTGGTATAACTTCCGCCAGAACGGTGCTCTTAACAGGATAAATTAGATTCTTGAAACTTCAAGAAGAGTCACGGGGGTGAGCGGCGTTCCGGCGGAAGTGGTGTGTCAAGCATAGAGTTACGTGAGCCGGGGAAAATACACTTCAGTTAGTGCTTCTGACCACATTATTATTTACAGTCACGCTCTTTACTCGTCTCCGGCTGCTCCGAGACTCAACATACACACACATACACATACACATGACAGGACAGCAGTAAGAGAAGAGAGAGAGAGGGGTGGGTAGATTGCGTTTTCTTGGACTGTAAGAAGGTTTTGACACAGTTCCACACATGAGATTAATGCATAAGCTGGAAGACCAGACAGGTATAACAGGAAAGGCACTGCAATGGATCAGGGAATACCTGACGAGAAGACATCAGCGAGTCATGGTACGTGGCGAGGCGTCAGAGTAGGGGCCTGTGAAGAGCGGGGTTCCACAGGAGTCAGTCCTAGGACCGGTGCTGTTGCTGGTATTTGTGAACGACATGATGGAAGGAATAGACTCAGATGTGTCCCTGTTTGCAGATAATTTAAAGTTGATGAGAAGGATTCAATCGGACGAGCAGGTAGAACTACAAAGGGATCTGGACAGGCTGCAGGCCTAGTCCAGAAACTGGCTCCTGGAGTTCAACCCCACCAAATGCAAAGTCATGAAGATTGGGGAAGGGCAAAGAAGACCGCAGGCAGAGTACAGTCTAGGGGGGCCAGAGACAACAAACCTCTCCTCAAGAAAAAAGGATCTTGGAGTGAATATAACACCGGGCACATCTCCTGAGGCGCACATCAAGAAAAATAACTGCTGCAGCATACGGACGCCTAGCAAACCTAAGAATAGAATTCCGACATCTCAATAACAAATCGTTCAGGACCTTGTACACCGTGTACGTTAGACCTATATTGGAGTATGCAGCACCAATTTGGAACCCATACCCAGCCAAGCACGTAAGAAAATTAGAGAAAGTGACTATGGTTTGCAACAAGACTGTCCAGGAGTTAAGGGGCATGTCCTACGAGGAGAAGTATCCAGGGAATTAACGAAGAACATAACTCCAGAATGCTTCAAAGAATCTGTAGTAATTCGGGACCCAAAGTTTATCGAAGGATCAGGGAATTAGGTCCCTCGGGTATCCAATGGTATCCAGGAGCGCCAGGATGGAGTCAGTGTTACCAAGGAAAGTTGTCAACTAATAGCATGAGGCTACACCTCTTCAACATCAATGGTTGACACCTATGTTAGATATGTGGATAATGGAGGACGGGGGGTGTCGCATGCAAAATCATCGTTCCCATAGGATCGATGACCCAGGGTTCACTGGGAAAGCGACCGCTCGAGTTTTTAAAAGAAAACCCGCTCCGATTCCTCCTTTCTCACTATTATCCTATGCCTTCTGTTCTCTAAAGTAGACATTCCTATACATATTCCTGTATTCACTTAGGCACTTTCCCCTCTTACTTCCTCCTTTTCCAGTTTCTTTGACAGGCTTCTCGTAGGTACTGTCATATGCTTTCTTACAGCCGAGAAAGATATAGTATTCCTGTCTCTTTCACTCTATACATAACGTCTGTCACTGTCATAAAACTCCAGGAGATTCACGAGACAGGATCTGCCATCTGTAAATCGCTGCTGTGTGTGTGTTTATGAAGGATAAAAATATATTCATCACCTCTGGATAAAACCGTCGGTGCTAAATCAATAACATTTATCTCCAGACAGTGCCACCTTCTCTCCGTCCCTTCCTCCCTCCCTCCGCCCCGTCTTCAAAAAAATTCATTAGGCTAATTAGACAGATAGAATATCGCGCCACGTCTGCCACATTTGGAAGTTGTAGCACCGGAGTCGGACCAACACTTGGCGTAGTCTCCACTTCTTACTCCATCTCCCTTCTCCCTTACCTACAGTGGGCGTTGGTGGCCAGATAGTGGGTGTTGTTGGCCAGATCATGGGCGTTGTTGGCTAGATAGTGGGCGTTGTTTGCCAGATAGTGGGCGTTGTTTGCCAGATAGTGGGCGTTGTTTGCCAGATAGTGGGCGTTGTTTGCCAGATAGTGGGCGTTGTTTGCCAGATAGTGGGCGTTGCTTGCCAGATAGTGGGCGTTGTTTGCCAGATAGTGGGCGTTGTTCGCTAGATAGTGGGCGTTGTTGGCCAGATAGTGGGCGTTGCTTGCCAGATAGTGGGCGTTGTAAGCCAAAGACATTACAAATGACTCAAAATAATAAATACCCCTTACAGTTTGGAACAATGCCATGGCTCGAACAATACCGTGGCTGGAACAGTACCGTGGCTGGAACAGTACCATGGCTGGAACAGTACCATGGCTGGAACAGTACCATGGCTGGAACAGTACCATGGCTGGAACAGTACCATGGCTGGAACAGTACCATGACTGGACCAATACCATGACTGGACCAATACCATGACTGGACCAATACCATGGCTGAACCAATACCATGGCTGGAACAATACCATGGCTAGAACAATACCATGGCTGGAACAACACCGTGGCTGGAACAATACTATGGCTGGAACAATACCTTGGCTGGAACAATACCACGACTGGAACAATACCACGGCTGGAACAATACCATGGCTGGAACAATACCACGGCTGGAACAATACCATGGCTGGAACAATACCATGGCTGGAACAATACAATGGGCGGTACAATCACAGTATCACCTCGTAGATGGAACCGCAAAAGCTACAATGTTAACAAGTTAATACAACAGAGGCAATGGTCGTAAAATAAGTGATATTGTTTTTATTCTACAGTATCACGACTCAAAGTCTCTAATGAAACAAGACAAGCATGAAAAGAATAAATTGAGAATTTCTGGAGGCGTAGATGGACGATAACTGAAGAATTCTGGAGGCGTAGGAGGAAACGATATAATGAAGAATTCTGAGAGCGTAGGAGGGAACGATATAATTGAAGAAGAGGTTTGCATACAGCTAAGGAAGAGATAATAATTCGAGTCAGTGACGGGGCGTAGGAGGTGCGTTTATACTCTTGAAGGCTAGCAGCGAGATACCTATTGAGACGGTAGCCGAGCGGTCTGGTGATGTTGATGTGTGTGATGGGGTGGATAATATGGTCATGTTGGGTGTTGATGGGCGCTGCTGCAGCTGTTGTGTTGATGTGGGAGCTGCTGTAGTGATGCGGGGCTATTGGGTACTGTTGATGCTGCTGCTGGGTGGCTGTTGGGGTGGCTGGTGTAATGGTGGTGACTATTGGTGGCTAGTTGATGGTGCTGCTGCTGGCTGTTGGTGGTGCTGCTGGTAGTGATGCTGGTAGCTATTGGTGGTAGCTGTTGATGGTGCTGCTGCGCTGCTGTGGTGGCTGTTGGTGGTGATGGTGGTGCGCTGTAGTGAGCTGGTGGCTATTGGTGGTGCTGTTGTTGGTTGTGTGGTGGTGGTGGTGCTGCTGGTAGTGAGTGATGCTATGTGGTGCTTTTGGTGGTGCTGTTGATTTGCTGCTGTGGCTGTTGGTGGTGCTGTTGGTGATAGTGCTGTTGGTGATGGTAGTACTGTCGGTAGTGATGCTGGTGGCTATTGGTGGTGTTGCTGATGGTTGTTAGTGGTGATGGTGGTGCTGCTGCTAGCGATGCTGATGGCTGTTGGTGGTGGTGCTGCTGCTCTTTTTGGTACTGCTGTTGGTGGCTGTTTGGGTGTCTGTACCTGCTTGACTGCTGTCTGTTACGCTAGTCTCTAGACTATTATCTTTTGTGTCGTCTGATAGGTCGTCATCCGGTGGGTCGTCACCTGGTGGGTCGTTGTGTCCACTTTTCCTCTTAATTCAGGAACTGGAGCTCATCCTTCTCCATCCTTGGATCAAACCTAACTACTTCCTCTACGAGCTGACTATGCATCAGTTTCCCGAGCAATCTTGAAAATAACCTTCAGGTAATTTAATAGAAATTGCTGAAAATGTAGTTCACGACATCCCAAGGATCCAAGGAATTTCGTCTAACTTCCCCTTGGATCAAACCTTTGTAACCCTTACGAGTTCCACGTAATAATTATCATAATCATAATTATCACTCAACACATATGCATTCACACACACACACACACACACACACACACACACACACACACACACACACACACACACACACACACACACCAGGCGGCCAGGAGCTATGAATCGACCCCTGCAAACACAATTAGGTGAGTACACACACACACTGAAGGACATCTCAAATCTTAAGAAAATGTTTGGATTTGAGGACAAGTTCGAGGAAATCTGGCGACTATAACAACACTTGAGAAGAGAAGGAAGCTGAGGGTGAAGGGAGAGTTGGGGAAGGTAATGGTAAAGGAAGGGAGAGTACTGGAGACTGACTCTGGTCAGTCGTAAGACTTCAGCCGAGTCTTGATCAAGGGTTCATTCACGTCAGTCTTGTAGGTCATGTCTCTTCATGTTATTTAAGATCAAATTATTCTTCCCAGAAACTAGACGTTTCAAAGAAAACGGACTTAAACAGCGACTCGCAATTCAGTGGTGATTCAAACACACTTGATGTCTGACTAATGGTTCAGTAGTGTTTCAAATCGGTACGGTATAAGCTGTCAGTGGCCCTATAAACCACAACAAG